GTGGGCTGCATCAAAATCTACAATAGGCCGCGGGTTGGACATCCCTGTTTTATATGTACCTACATTTATAATGACGTGTAATATAAATCTCATAATGTTTATATCGTGCATACATATTTCGCAAATCGACAATCATATGTTAATATATTATATTATATCGTGTTCGTGTATAAATATGTACATAACTCTAGTCTCCATATTTTACAGTTCAAGCTTGAAAAGCACAAKTAATGGTAATTTAAAAAATGAATACAATTTTGAAAATAGTGCCTACTTATGAATGGAAAATATAGGTTTACTTAAATATTTAAATTTTTGAAACTGCACAGCAGGCAGCAGCGTATAATAATGTTATAAATAATGATTCACAGTACTCACACAAATAAATGTTACTTATAATATAGTGACTTCTATAATATAATTATTTTTAATATATTGTTGCGGTGTATAAGTCTAGATATAAAATATAATTAAATTTGGTAACGTATTTAAAACTTATAAATTTGTAGTTTATTTTCTTTATCAATTTGTATGGTTTTGAAAATAATATTTCAGTATAAAATATTCGAGATAGACACATCACATTTGGAGTTAATTTTTAATTAATATATAAGTAGGTTGGAGTACTTGGAACTTTTATTGCTCGTCAAAACTTTGAAATTTAAAATAATTTTAACCTTCAATATATGACTGTTTTATTATATTCTTATACATTAAATTCTTACAAATATTATAAATATTGGTTTTATAAATTCTTATTATTTATTATAAACATAAAAATGGTCAGACTGCAGAATTAATAGAATAAAATAATAATATAAAAAATTCCAAATTAGGTTTTGAAGATCCAAATATACTATATAGAATTAATAGCAAGTGGATTGAACGAAAATATGWAATCCTAAAATGATAGCTAACTAAACTAAACTAAAAATGTGCTTAAGCGTATAAGGGGGATAAAGCGCCGAAAATGCTTAACCCGCAAACCATTTAATTTTTAGGAAATAGTTTTGCTATACACCGTACGGAAATCAATTGAAAAATAAATAATTTCAATCAAATTATAATAATAATATATAAATTATTATAATAATAAACCATAATATACCTGTAATTATAACACAATTAGCGAATACGAATAATTGTTTTTTTTTTTAATTTTTATTTAATATTTAGATGAATCTGGTTTCAAATTATTCATCTATTATATAAACAACTTCGAACGACTCACTTCTCCAACAGATTGGCTTTGGATATATATCGCATTCCGTGCACCGTGCTGTGACTAGTGTACTCGTCGATGAGTACGCACGATGACTTCGTAACGGTCGCCGGTTGATTGACGGACAACTTGACGGCTGCCGGTGACATTCTGAGAAAGAAATTTGGTCGTATCGTGGTCCATCTTCGGACGACGTCATCGTCACTCGTCAGCATGGTCGTGTTCGCCTTCAGCACGAAACCGCGGTGCTAGGAGTGAGTAAAATTAATATAATATGGTTACTCGTGTTTCTTCGGCCCAGGAAATATTAAACCGTTGAACAGTACATAAAAKTATATGATAATATACCTACGCGAATAATTGCAACGTCATAATTAATACGTCATTAACTATAATATTTTGTATATATAGCCACCGTRGTCGAATGGACCAAAAACTAAATATGYATTTCATATATTACTAATAATACGTAACATGACAAAATCCCTCACGGATTTCTGCGTGCTCTGAGTACTTACCGATTTTGGGACCACAAAAAATTATCTCAACTCACGCCAACCGAGTCGTGTGCGGTGTGCGGTGAAATGAGAGCGTATTTGAACGACGATGAAAATGTGATAGATGTACTACGCGTTGTGCAAAACTGATGACGACCCTTCCCGCCCACTGTTTAGATAATGGTGAACACTGCACCGCTTTATGTGCAAAGGATTATTTTTCGGTCCACGTGCGATCGTATTTGTATTGCTGGATACCATATACCTCTATAATAGTGTTATAGATACAAAATATCGTACATAATAACGTTAATTGTTTGTATAAGTGATATAGGTACTGAGGACAGTGAGGTACTCGTTTATTTCAGTCCCTGGAAACAGCTGCCTCAACGACGACCCAAATCGTTCTATAGTCGTAAAGTTTAGTTGTTTAAACATAATATAGATATAATATGCATATCATGTATATACATATATATCAGCTACACAGAAACACGCGTTTTATCGCAGCTCATTATTTATAATTTACTTCTTTTCGTTTCGATTTTTTCTTTATTATTATTATCCTACAACTCGAAAACGGGGCGACCACGAAAGTTATACAGGTACCTAGGTATTTTAATACTATATAGAGGTTTTTTCTTGTACATATTGGTATAATACCTCTGACTATGTTATAATATACCAACCAGTGCAGCAGTGTTTGCATACAATTATTTCGCGTAAAGACGACGGCCGCCGTCACTACATCTATATGTATAATATTACACGCCTATATTATAATACTGTGTTCACTCTACGTACACCTACATACACACACTCTTGCACGGTAGACGTTTATTATATTTGCTTTTTCATAATATTGACGTGGCTCTGGGGCGTCCTTTCCCCTTCTCGGCCGTGCTGAATTTTCTCAATCATTTTTACGCGAACATAAGCGCACGCCGCGCCGTTTGTACTATAATATAATGTGTGTATAATTACAACAGTTTCATATTATATTCAAAGTTCAGATATGGCGTACCTATACGGTGGTTTTCTCATATTAACAACGCACATGGGTAAAGTATATAGCTGGTTACCAATGGGAAAGTCGGTTTTCGTATTTATATAATATTATAATATGTAATATGRAATAACCGAATTCAGTCTTGCATCCTAGCTTTCAGTAACCTATTACAAGTATAAAGGTTTCGATTTATTAAACGTTAACAAGCTGTTGTCAGTTAGATATATCAGGTCAAGAGACTGAGCTAACTGAAGTGCTGGAGTGTATAGTCGTATGGTACCTACTTATTATTATAAAAATGCAGCAAATTACACGATCTTTCGCTACAAACGCTTTATTTACTTACACAAATTAAAATTATGGGGTCCAATAGTCTCGCGTCATACTCTAGATCGTACAAGGACGCAGTAAAGGGCGTTGATTGTAATTAATAGCTTAAATTACGAACAAGTTCTTTTCACAGAGCCTGGAGCTTTTGAAAGTCTTACGGCAGATGATCTCAATGCGAGCGTAGTAATTCAATTCTGTATGACTGTATCAACAATTTAACCAATGTTTGAACACCTATAATAAGATAATAATATGGGAGGTTTTCGATGTGGATATATCTGCAATTCGTAGCAATTGAATTAACTGCAATTCGCAGCAGCTTTAGCGAGCGCCTATAGAAGATAACAGCCGACGTCTCCGCGACGTGATATTCTGATCACGATAAATATTTATTTATTTTTTGTTGCTTTGTCATAATTACAAATACGATATGCTTCATTTTGGTAAAAAATAAAGTCAGCTTAACCCAATTARGTAGATTAGGTAGTCACTTTTTTGGGTTGTTCTTGGATTTAAAATCCACGCGTCTCCCGTGGCAGACCCGACTACTGTTGCACTATAATATTTTGATTCACACATGACGATTGCGGAGATGAAAATCGCCGCACTCGACTTTTGACAAAATATAATAATAATAATAATATATGGCGACGGACAACGCCGACAACGTCACCGGCCGCTGTTGATAGTACCGCCATCGCCACCACCGACGCACGCCACTGTTTTACGAGCTCACGAAGCAGAGAGGTGCCCACGGACAGACCGCGTGCGGCTGTAGTCACCGCGCAGTGTCGTCGCCGCCACCGTCATGATTGCAGTATCGTCCACGTACTTTTGGTCAATGCTCGTTTTCTCGATGGTCCACAACACCAAAGGTGGGTGTCGATTTTAATCCGTTCTCATCACAATATATAATAATAATATTTATAATGTATATATGATATTATAATGTACGCGTGACACAAATCGTCCGTCCTTAATAATATTAAGATTAAACGAATTTTGAAAAAGATTAAGTGCACAATACTGACATTCGAGGTATTAAATTGGATAATATCCTTGTATAAAAACCGCCAATATTATTGTGAGCAAACATGTGTATTTGAATACTGTATTTGGTATTCTAAATACTTTATTTTAGTACTGATGACAATTATTATTTTCTGGTATCAAGTAAATTTTTTTTTATTATTGCGTTTTAAAATTGTCGATTACCTAAATATCGAAGGAGATCACAATAATATTATTAGGTATTTACAAAAGTATTATTATCTCAAATACGTAGGTATACTTTTGAAAAGTATCTGCATCTGTGTTTGAGTACATTTCGAACAAAAACCGTCAACGCGTGGGTAGGTATTCCAAATGACTATTATTAGTATATTATGTATACATGACTTAAATATACAATTATAATAAACCTACCATTAATATGTTGTTTGGATGAGAATATATTATTATGTTAAATATTAAATAATTTAACGCGTTTCGTGTAATATTGTTTAGGTATCAGCTTGTATAAAAGCACAGACCGTTGTTGGCTTTTGTCTGCAAAATGCACATAATATGTACGAATAGGTGATATAATATTACTGCTGTGTGTATATGTTACCATGTAGGATATATAGTGCATAATATACATATATGTTAGTCCCACGGAAACTAAAAAATCATGGTTTTTTATTATATACTCATACAAAATCACGTAGATAAGTTTCTCAACTTTGTGTTAATTTTTAGTATCTTATAACTACATTTTCAATAATATTGAACAATAATATCATCGTTTTTAAATAGTTAATGGTTATCATTTCAAATTTAAACTTCATAATGATGGCTATCATAAAATAATTTTGAGCGATGGTCTACTAATATACCTACTATGTATGTTTCTAGAATGATAACTATTTAATTAGGTATTACTTTGTTTTATTAAATTTATAAATATAAAATAATCTTAATGTTTAAAATTGTAATTTATAAACTTCCAACTCAACTAAAACTTAAAATAAATCTAAAAATCACCGTAATCATCCTTAACCTAATAAAATAACCCCCGTAATTGTGTAAGCATTTTGAAAGCTTATTATAAAACCAATTAAACATTTATTTTGGAGATGATTGAAAAGATTAATTAGCATTATGAAAATTTGAAAACAATTTTTATCGACCTATCGAAGATCATACATAATACACTATACTTTTAATCTTCTAATATTTCATGTAAAAATATTGTATTAATATAATAATATATAATCATAATAGACTAAATTATTTTTTTTTTTTTTATGTTTTTCATTTATTCATTTAGTATAGTAACATAAACATAATTGACACATATTTTCCTATATAATATAGAGACATTATAATGTAGAATTTGATAGGTCAAAGAAATTTAGAAACACCTATAATTTTTCAAATAGTAAAATCTTGACGGTAACGAGCCTATATATTTAGTATTATGTGGATATAATTATTCTTAAAAATTGATTTTCAAAGTTTTGAATGTTCTGATCATTTTATTTATGAGTTGGAGAGAATGAGATGTTAGTTTTATAAGAAGAACATAACTTTTCTGTTTCAATCAACATTAATGTGATATTAATTCGAGTTGTATGTCACAACATATATCATGTATAATAAATAAATAAAGTTGCCTAACTCTTGAAAATATAAAATAATGAACATACCAGGTAAATAACTTGACGGTTGACTACTTAGTTTGATAGAAAGCAGTAAGAAAACTAATGAACAGTAATAAAAATTTAGTGAAAAAACTTTCATATAAAACTTTTTCACATTTAAAATTATATTTAGATTATTATAATATATTATAATCTAAGTTGAATAATCTATGAATAACAATTTTTTAATTTTTTAATTTTTTTTTTAATTTGTATTTAATTATGTAATTCAATACCCTTTAATAAATTCTCGTGTCTGTAAGTGTAAATAATAATTTTGTATTTATTTATGTTATATGTTCAATGTAAGTGTTCATTCCCACGTTAAAACCAACGTTGTAAATAATAAGAAAAAGAATTAGATTTCCTAATTAATTATAATTAGTATATTCATTTTAATAACATCATAGCTTATAAATATGTATTTCTGTATTTGATATTGATAAAAAACGCATGCATAATATCCATTTCAAATAATTAGGGTACTTATTAAATTGTTTTAAATATACAAAATATTTTAATTTAACAATTTAGATGTAACAAAATATATTTTGCACCTATCGACCTATATATTTTTAATATAAATAAGTTATAAATTAATAATTTATTTTTTGCCTTAAATTCAAGAACTCTTATTAAAACATTTTACAAAAAAATGTATCAATATAAATTAAATATCTATACATATGAAACATATAATACAATTGATAATTTGATTATTCTTAATTTATTTAATTTCACCATATAAATTTCTTTTAATCAAATAGATGGAAATATAATTTTTATATCTCAAATATTATCCTGGAGCACTCTTGAATAAATCTTATTCACTAGTTCACGACAGAGAATATAAATATGTTCAATATACAATGAAATACTTGACATTAAATCAATCCACTACAGAGTATTCTCTTTAAATTGTATGATTATTGTTCTTCATTTCAAACAACTTTCCAACTCCAAAATAAACCAGGTGGTAATTATTACAACACTTTTAATATTTTTTTTTCAATTACACGCGTTCAATCTTAAACAAAAACTATTATAAATTAACTAAAGATAAACTAATCATCCTTAAATACAATATTTAAGAATGTTATTATAATATGTAMGCATCTGTATATAATGCATAATATAAAGGTATGTATAAGAACTAGGAATATCACAGTATTTATACTATATATTCCTAGAGTTTTATAAATTCTTATAATTTTGTCTCCTATACTGTTCCTTCAAATCGAACATATATATGTTCATGATCGTACGATACACAAATCACGCCAAGCGTAACTTTGACTATTTGTCCGACATAATAAAAAAAAAAAAACATACAATACTAATAAAACCCAAACTCTGACAGTGGTCTACATGTTCTCGTATAACACTATAACGCATAACTATCAAGGAAATTGAAATAAGTGCTGACAAGTTTCATTTGTTCGAATTTTATGACACATAAAACTCTTACTAGATTCTGTCAATCGAATAACATTTTATATGTTAAAATTCATATTATACCGATCGATTTATTTCAACAAACTATTAGAGAACAAATATTTATATTATATTTTATACGCGGACATAAGAACTATAAGACCGCAGAAGACATAATTTTGATATGTTACATTATCATAGCCAACACAATGAGTTATATACAAATATTTTATTAATTATTTAATTACTTAMCTAACTGCTACAGCACACAACGTTACAAATGTACAACAAATACAAATAAACCAACGAAATATCTTCTTAATTTGTTGTCTTATATAGTTAGTCTTTGATAGCCCTATAGGTTAATGTCTTGTGATATGTTCTACCCTAGGTTTATATGTTTGCGATGGTTTTGTAATGGAAAGCTCCTTCGATTTATTTAGGTTATTGTGGAAGTTTTTGTATTGGTTAATTATTCATATTGATTTGAAGGAAATTCCGTGTCATTTCGCAGTTGCTTATTCCCCATAAACTTTGGCAAGAGGCTTTAGCCTTTGAGTGCTATTCTTGGGAATTCGGTTTGGATAATATTTTTCGATTTTTGTTTGGACGCGTCAACCCATACTGGACCTGCGTAGGTTAGTAGTGATAGCCGTAGAGAATATTTCGTCTGCAAGGTTGAACTATGTTTTAATAATATGTTCCAATAATTTCGTACCTAGACTCACACATCACATAAGCTTTTAATTTTAACACATAAATTATATTATTACTATATTTACTTATATTTGTTTTGTAATATCTTATCCATACTGTATAAAAGCCGTCTGGCGTTAATTAGTATATATWATATATTATATATACAAATAAAATAAGGGATATAGGCTTTTCGCCTTTAAAGATGAACGATAATATTGTGTATTCATGTTTTAGTTTTTATTGATGTGAATTTTCCAAGTTAACTTTTTGTTTAGGTATGTTTTTAACTATCTCACATATCCTTAAATTTTTATTGGATTTCATGGTATATTTTTTCACGGTATTAAAATATTAAATACATATATTTTTATTGTTTCACATTTGTTAATAGTTTTTAATTTTGTTGGCCTTTTATTTTGCGGTAATAGTTTGATTAAATAAATCTAACATGCTATATTTCTTTAACTTTGAGACAATTWTTATATAAATTTAAAAAGTTTTTGATGGATCAGATACTCATAGTTGAAATCAATATTAAAAAAGCTAAAATTAAACTATTTTKATATATTTATTGTTTGTACGTATAAAATACTAAAGTAACACATGTGAATACAACTTTCTTAAGTTTAACCTAAAGCTTAACTTTGTGAAGATGTTGAGTAAAAAGAACTTAAATTACAAGTAATTAAAAACTAAATAAAAATTCTCGAGATAAATCAATATAAATGATAAGTATAATAATATTCAACGCTTTGCATAACAAAATATTGCAAGAATCATCATTATTGTTATTCAATTTAGGGTAAAAAACTCCTATAAAAATATTTGCATTCTGTAAGATTCTAATTCATTTCATGGTGTAGCAAAGTCAAATATTAAATTTTAATTTGCATATTTTTACATATTTCAATGTTTTTGGTATTGAAAAGACGAAAACTTAACTACATTATTTTTTTAATCCTTTTCCTGTATTTTCAAATGTTGTATGATCACTGAAGATAACAAACACTTCAAAACGAATCTTTATTGCTTTGCAAGATTGATAATATACATCGAAC